TCTTCACCAGCTTTACAGCAGATCTGCTCTCGTGGGCCTGACGGTCAGAGGCTGGGGCAGGAGGGAGGGGAAATTGGCATCCTTGCCTTTTGGGCAGCACCCACAGCAGGCCTGGCCCTGGGATGTTTCCCACTCTCATTTCATAAATCCTCACGGTCATCCTACAAGTGGGCACTGTTACAATCCTTGTCCTGAAGATGCGTGTGGAGGGTTCAACGGTGGTCCTCAGAGAGATATGCCTATGTCCTAACCCCAAAACCTGGGAATGTGACCTTATTTGGAAAAAGGGTCTTAGCAGATGCCACTGGGTTAAGGATCTCGAGATAGATAATCCAGGTGGGCCCTAATCCAATGACAATTGTCCTGCTAAGACAGACAGGGAGACAGAGAGGAGAAGGCCATTGGGGACGGAGGCAGAGGTTGGAGGGATGTGGCCACAAGCCAAGGAACACCTGGAGCCACCAGGAGCTGGAAGAGGCAGGAAGGATCATCCCTTCGAGCCTCCGGAGGAAGCACAGCTCTGTTCATACTTTGAGTTTGGATGTCTGGCTTCCAGAACTGTAAGAACACAAATGTGTATTGTATTAAAGCTACCCAGTGTATAGGTACCTATTGCAGCAGCCCCTAGGATACTAATGCAATGTGGAAACTGGGGTTCAGAGAGACCGGGCAAGGCCGCACAGCTCTTGGGGACTCCATGCTGTGTCGTGCTGATGACCAGGCTGATTTTTTAGAAAACTGATCTCGTTTCCATTTGGAAGGACAGAGATTCCAGGTCCTAGGTAATTTCCCTACAAGATGCCGTCTAAGGAAAGGCTTTCTCCAACAAGGTGGCTTCAGTAAGCTTCAGAGCGCCTCCGGGCACCCCAGGCAGGGTGTGAGTAATCACACCAGCTTCTGCTGACCACTTATGGGCCAGGCAGCACTCACTGGCTCACAACAACCCGAAGAAGAGGAAATCTTCTTCCTGTTTTACGAATGAGGAAATCGAAACATGCGGAAGCCATAGGGAACAAAACGCAAATTGGAAGTGAAAGAAGCCGGACATAAAGGGCCGCACAGTGTGTGAGCCATCTACGGGAAATGTCCAGCATTGGCAAACCCGCAGGGTCAGAGAGCAGATGCGGGGTTGCCCAGGATGGGGAGGAAGGCATGGGGGGGTGGGGGTGACTGCTAATGGGTTGTGGGGTCTCCTTTGGGGTGATGGAAACATTCTGGAACTAGATTGAGGCGGTGTTTGCACAATATCTTGAATGTGCTAAATGCCACTTGCAGTGTACATTTCAACGTGGTGAGTTTGATGTTACGTGTTTCACCTCGATTTTTAAAAACACAGTTGGAAAAGGGTGAGGTAAGAACGCCTTGTACCGAGTACCCTGCTGCACCCAGCCTTAAGTATGTAGGGTCTCAGTGGGACCCCAGGGAGGGAAGAATTTCTCCCATTTCACAGATGGGGTCAGTGAGGCTCCTGGGGCTCCTTGTCGGAGTTGCTGTCCTAGGCAGTAAGGAGGGGAACTGGGCGTGAAGCCCAGGCTGTCTTGGCTCCAGCGCCCAGACCCTTCTCCCAGCCACGCAGCTCCAACGCAGGGAAGAGCTGGAAGGTGAAAGGTCTTTGCTTTTCGGCTGAAGTTGATTCTATGTGGGGTCATCAGCAACCCCGACGGCGGCCTTGCTTAACAGAGGTCATTGGAAAGGAACTTCCACAAATGCACTTCGCTTGAAAAATCTTTCAAAAGGTGGGGCTCAGGGGCGCAGGTGGGAGGGATAACAGAACGCCTGTGAGGAGACAGGGCAGACACGAGGAGAGAGACAGTCCTGGGTGAGTGCTGAGGTCGTGGGAAATACCCACAGGCAACTCCTGAGTGGATGGTGCCTGAGGCAGTGGCTCTGAGACCCGTGTGGTGTCTCTGAGTTCCTAGTTTAGCTTTCTAGGATTTCCTTTCTAGGATTAGCATTTCCTTGGGGAAACCAAGGCTCAGGGGAAGAGGCCAAGGCTAAAGTTTCCCTACTGCCACTCCCGTGTCCCGCCTTGGACCCGCCTTGTTCATTCCTCTAAGACCAGCACATCCGTGCCTGGAAGATGCTGGCCTCGAAGTCCCAGCTCTCTGGGCCTTTGCACATGCTCTGAAACCCAGGGCAGGTAGAGCTGACTCCCACACCCATGGTCTCCACGCTTCTCTGGACCACAGTCCCCTGCAGGCCTCTGAAGGAAATGGGGTACAGCAGAGGGTCTGGATGAGTACAACTCTGCATACAATCCTGGGACCCCCCAGGGCAATGTCCCCAAATCAGCTATTGGTGTTTCACAATGCAGATTCCCCCCACCCCCCACACCTCTCCACTGCATCAAAGTTTCTGGGATTTTTCTTTGCCCCCAAGGATCCCTGGTGATTCAGATGCAGGAGGTACTTGTGAAGTTCAAGTTAAGGCCCCCAAACTAGGTCTTGGTACTCATGAGCCTTTATAAGATGCGTTCTTAGGGACGGCTGTAAGGTCCACCCTCAGAAGAGTCGGAGAAGGGACAAATGAGGCCTTTGCTTTTTCTGCCTACAATGTAGACTCGGACGGAAGAGGCTGCAGCTGGGTCGGGTGGAAAGGCAGGCCCAGGGCAAGGTCAACGCCAACTTCCATCTACCCAGCTGCCCTCTACCTGGGAAGATTTCCTCTGCCCAGGAAAATCATTATCAGATCGGCGGCGGCAGCAGCAGCTGTTCTGTGGCCCAGGGAAGGAAGGTTCCAGAGAAGTGTTAGCTCTCTTTTTAAATAAAAAAAAAAAAAAAAANATTTCCTCTGCCCAGGAAAATCATTATCAGATCGGCGGCGGCAGCAGCAGCTGTTCTGTGGCCCAGGGAAGGAAGGTTCCAGAGAAGTGTTAGCTTTCTTTTTAAAAAAAAAAAAAAAAAAAAAAGAAAAAGAAACATTGGAGAAAAGAAAAAATCAGAGCCCTGAAGAGGACACAGAGGTCTGAAGCTGGGACAGGATTTCGCTGAGGACACCAGGACGGTTAGGCCAGTCCCACCCGCCAGCAGCTGAGCCGGAGGAGCCCCGGGAGAGCCGTGAGTGGCTTCCTCTGGGCTCGCTCGGCCAGGACATCATTTGTTGATTCTAGAGCCCAGTCCCTAGCTCATGATTTCCTCCCTGGTTGCCATGGCCCCGTACAGAAAACATAGCAAACGCCTGGCCCCGGGCAGCTCATTTATTTCAAATATTCCTTGCAGCTGGACTCCAACCACGCTTGGGTGTCTGGACTGAAGCATGAACTAATTGCTCTGTCTTCGGCCCCCTCCCCGGCTCCCCCGGCATACTTTATGGTTCAGTAAAGTCCACATTCCTCATCTCACCGAGGAGGAGCGGAGGAAGGGCGGGAGAAGCCCGTGAGCGGGAGATGGATGGCTCTTCCCATCTATGGCCAAGCCCGAGAGAACTGCTACCTGCTCGAAGGCAGGGTATTAATTACAACCACATGGCCGGTCTGCAAGATGGTTTTATGAAGACCGCTCCCTTCAACATGAAACCCGGCTCCCCCAGAAGTCTCCCGGCCGCACAAAGGCCCTTATTTTCCCTGTGCTTCCTGTAGCCCCTCCACCCTCACCGCCTGACCCCTCCCTACCCCCCACCCCGCCGCCCCCTTCAAAGCAAGCCGGAGTTCCAACTGCAACCCAGACATGAACTCCAACCTAAAAATAATTTCAGACCACCCCTTTCCTCCAACCACGTCTGGGGAAGGCATCCAAGGGGTCCCTTTCCCAATACCCACCTTGATCGCTGGAAACTGTACCCTGGAAGAAAGAACATTTATCAGGAAGTTGGTTTAGGAATGTGTGGTGCATTCTCAAAGACCAATTCCAGCCCAGGAACTGCCATTTTCCAGAACAGAAAGAAGTGCATGAGCTTTTAAAAGCATTTGTCTGCATACCTCCTAGTAGGCTGGGCCCTGTCCGAAAGCCTCATTTCACCCTTGCTACCCTCCTAGGCGATGGAGGCTCATCCAAACTCACACAGCTAGTGAGGGTCAGAGCCAACATTTGAACCCAGGTCTGACTCAGGAGGCCATGTGCTTGTCGCTGGGCCAACCCACCAACACACCGAAAGAATTTCCCTTTACCCAGCAACTTTTCCAGAGAAAGAGCTGACACAGTTGCCGTGGTCTTCAGAGTCTCTTAGGCAAGGTCACTTGGGGAGTTTGCGAAAACAGCAAATTCCTGGGCCTGGCCCCAGAAATGTTGATTCAGTCCGTCTTAGTCAGGGCCCTGAAACATGCATTATAGCAAACACCTCCCAGGTGATGCTGGTGCAGGTCATCTGAGGAAAGCTGACCAGGAGGTTCTCAGAGAAAGGGGCATGGGACTTTGGTCCCAGGAGTCTTGAGCCTTCGGACCAGGGCACTTTTCCCAGCACCACCAGATCCTGACATGCCTTTAAAATTAAAAAATGCCCAGAGGGAGCTGAATGCATTCTTGTTAATTCTTTGGAAACTAGTCATGACATGTGATCAGGTCTAGTAAATTTCTTGACTGTTGTCTTTCTCACTCACCAATCCTCTAAATAAGCCAGAATTTCCTGTCTTGTCTCCTGGGGGGTGGGGGTGGGGACCCTGCCCACAGCAGCTGGCAAAGGCTCATCAGGTCACTGCCCTTTTAGCTCTGGGGACATGAAGTTGAATGCAGAACCAGCTCCTTCCGCCAAGTGCTCAGAACCTAGACTCCAAGACACCACAAGGGCTCCCAGCCTGCTCTGAAAGGCCCGCTGTCAACTCAAAGCTTTAGAACACGCTGATGTGCAGAATCCCTTCTCATAGGTCAGCAAGTCCCTTAGTCTGGGCTGCAGGTTCGTGGACTTCTGAAAAGGCGTGGGGACGTTCTAGGATCACCCCTCCAGGATCCTCCTCCTCATCTGGGGCTCTGGCTGGCATCCCACTTTCTGCCAAGGGGCGGGGGGGGGGTGGTCACCTCATTATCTGGTGAAAACCATGGGTGGTGGAGCTGGCACAAAGAGGGACTCAAAAGTGGCTTTTTATTTTAATAAACTTTCCTTTATTAGGTTATTGACTATTAGCAACCATCATAAAATAGAATGGGAGTTTCAAAACTGTACAGGCCACAGGGCTCTGGGCTGCGAGTGGGGCGGGGTTGAGGGTCCGGAGAGCTGGGGGCGCGGGAGGTGCAGAGAGATGACAGAGCCCGGTGATCCATCCAGCGTCCGCGGAAGGCGCTGGGTCAAGGCGGAAAGGCTGTGTAAGTGAAACTCTCTCATCTCCTGTGCAACATTCATCCGAGTATGACCCACCCCGAAATAGGAGTGAGGAAAGTCTTTCAAAGTCTAACAGGTAAGGTTCCCCCGCCTGAAAACAACAACAAAAAACACCTCACAATAATAAGGTGGTAGGTTACATTCCTCACCCAGTCTTGGCACCAATTTTGTGCTTTAAAAAATATACTCCATTGGAAGGCTTTTTTTTTTTTAAGGTACCCTACAGCAGCTGTTTAAAACATAATTCTTACGGACAAATATATACGCATATATATTAAACATTTTAAACAAATAAAGTCATCTATTGTACCTGTACAGAAATGAACTGAAATCAGACTCTAAAAGAAAGAAATGGCAAACGTGGTGGCAGGGTGCAGGGGTCTGCTACGTGGGGGAGCTGTGGCAGGGGGAGACGTCCCTCTCCTGCTGGCTGCCCCGCCCCACCTCACCCCGCCCCTCTGGCTCTGGGGGGGTTGTGATGAACTCAGCACTAGGCGGCCTGACTCCACGCTGGTCTTCCCCACCCTGCCCTGCCCTTCCTTGGCATATCAGGGGACGGAGACCCACTCATCATCCCTTCTTGGTTTGGTGGTCCCCAGGGCTTCTGTGGACACGCGTGGGAGATAATCGGCTAGGAAGGCAAAAGCAAAACCAAACCCACACCTAAAACCCCATGGAAGACTGAAGAAATGAAACCACGTGCAAAGATGTACGAGCCCAAGTGTAACTAGGCGGAGACATGGGAGCTGTCCCAGCCCCGGAGCCGTGACCCCCAGGACACTCATACTGCACATGAGGCTAAAGCTCCCGGAGGGGCCCGCTCAGGAACACAGAGCAGAGCCCCCTGGAAACTGCAGGTCAAACAAAGACACCTGTGCCCATGTGAGGACACAGCACATCCACAGCCCAGCGAGGATGACAGGTGAGGCACGCACATGCCGGGGAGGGGCAGGTGGAATAAAAACAACAGAACACTCCAGAGAGGCGACCAAAACAAGGTCCCTTTCTAAATGGAATAAATAAATGGCTTTTGTTATTGTTAAAAGAATAAATACAGGGGACGGGGGCGCTGGCAGCCAGGACTGATGCTGGGTGTTCATGTGCCTGCGGACGGTCCAGTTCCGGTTTCTGCCTCGGTGTCCACGGTGGGTTTCTGACATCCTGAGCTTCGTCTCCGAGGCATGGCTCCTTGTCTAAGCACCTCTTAGCACCCCTGGGAGCTGCTCTCGGTGCCGGAGCCCCTCCCAGCAGGTTGTGTGTGGGGGGGTACCCACGCCACCCCGAGAGCAGAGCAGATTGGAGCTCAGTGCCGGACTTCTTAGGAGTTTATTTTGTGTCTTTGTCCAGGAAGGGGCTGTGATGTGCCATGCGGGGAGCTCCCACCAATGTCAGGAAGGGGAGCAGCCAGGCAGGACGAAGAGGACGCCCGTCCAAGGCACAGGGTGTGGCGGTGGCTCGGTGAGCTGGCACCATGTGGCTGTTGCGCTGTCGGTCCTGGGCAGAGTGTCACTGGTAGAGGAGGTACGCCTTCAGGGAGGCCGGCAGCGGCAGCGTGTGGATCTCACCCAGACGTTCCTTCCCCAGGGCCAGGCGCACGGATCGGCGGCACAGATCCATGAGCGGCAGGGGCTCGGCTGGGGAGACCGAGGAGAGAGAGCACATCAGGTTAGCACGGCTCTGGAGGGCTCTACACCAAACAACACGCACAGCAGCAGCCACAGTATCATTAATATTAGTGTTACTATGCAGGCAATAACTGAGTAATTTTACATTTTAAATTAATTATGACTAGCTGACACAGCAAACCCACTCTGGGCCGGGCACCTTTGTGAGGCCTCTGCAAACACTAATTCATTTAATCCTCAAAATGGCTTATGAGGGTTTCATAATCACAGGACGATGCCGTTACCAGCAACCCATTTTACAGATGAGGAAACTGAGGGACAGAGTCCAAATAACGCCAGGGTCGCGCTGCTGGGAGGAGAGGAAGCTAGAATTCCAGCCCAGGCTGTCCCTGCTCTTACCCACCGGACAAGCACCAGCCTTCAGTTCGTGTGCATCTAGAGCACACAGGAGCCGGCTCTCCCCAGCATGTACCCCGAGAGAGACCCCACGCAAACTTTCATGAAAGGAATCATCTTGTGTTCACCCAATGGCGCGCAGCTACTGTTCTCATCTTTATTTTACAGTTGAGGGCACTGAGGTGCAGAGGGGACCTAAGGTGCCAGGGTCACAGGTTAGGATCCGAATCAGGGCGGTCTGGGCCCAGCTCAGGGCAGAGCTGACTCAGCACCAAGATTCGAGAGGGGCTTCTAGCTGCAGCCGACAAGGGCACTTGTGTCTCTGCATCCCTGGATGGCCGGGCCCTGTCTTCCTGCAAGGGAGGCGCCGTGCAGCCCAAAGCTCAGGTAAACTCAGCTCCAGAGGCAACCTGAAAGTCATTTCCTCCAAGGTCCCATGGCAGTGCTCACCCTGCCTCCCCGAGTAGGCTTCTCCTTGCTCTCTTCCCTAAAACCAGGTACAGGTGAGCACACCTGGAGCTGCTTGGGGTCACCCCAGGGTTCTGGACAGCTGACGCGAACGGGTCTCACCCACGGTCTCCCCTTGACTCTCAGAATCGTTTGTGAGCAAAACACAGGCCAGACCAAAAAACTGAGAAGAAATCCCAGTATCTCCCTTGAGACCAATAAAAACTGGATTCAAGTTCTTTAATACCGCTGTGTCTCAAAAATATTAAAAATAACATTAAAAAACTCAATTACTGAAGACCAAATCCTACGGCTGGGGTTTGTTGGGGGAAATGGGGAGTGACTGTTATTGAATATGGGTTTCTTTTGAATTAATTGTGGTGGTTGCACAACTGTGACTGTATTATACTGAGTCAGATCCTTTAAAGGGGTGAATGGTATGGCATGTGGATTATATCTCAACAAACCTGTTACTAAAAAAAAATAAAAAAAATAAAAATAAATCTTAGGTTTGACAATGCATTTACTAAATTCCAGCTTTAAAAGAAGGCCAACAGCTGCTCTTAATCTCCCATGGGCCATCACAGGAGAAGGAATTGAAGAGGTAAATGTTTTTCATGGAAAGCTTTGAAACGAGACCTTTCCTGGAGGCAGGCGCATAAACAAAATGACCTTCCTGTCCTTCAGGGTCACGGGTTCCACAGGCTCCAGCTGAGTAGGGCAGGGTTTCTCCCCAGCTGCTCAGAGCCCTGGGTCTCCCTCATCATAAAGTGTCATGCCCAGGTGATCTCACATCTGGCTCCTAATTTCCACAGCAGATCACGTCTCTGCCCGGGCCTCAGTTTCCCCATCTGTAAGATGAGGAGTCAGACCAGATGCTCCCAAAGTCCTATCCAGCTGAGATCCTGAAGGCCAGAAACGTCTCTATTGAGGACTGGCCCTTCTGTGGGATCGAGTTGGGGTAATTGGGTGGTACTTCCTCTCCTCCACTCAGGGGCTCCCTTCCATCTCCCCCCGGCCCCTCCTCCCTCAAGGATGTGGCTCAGCCCCCACTGGGAGGCAGAGGGGCTGCCCCTCATGGCTGAAGGCACTTGAAAAAGCATCAAGAGCTATTGAATGTGGCCTGAGAGCCCTGGACTGTGGGGTGGGGGTCAGGGGGAGTTTCCATCATGTTCTCTTGGCTTAATGGGTTTCAGTTCAACTCACGAATGCCCTCACAAAGAAACGTTTTTAAACAGCAGAGGCCTGCAGAAGCCAGGGTCCAGCTCCCTTATTTCAGGTAGTTCACATCACAGCCCCAAGTAGCAGCTGTGGCTTATGAAGCACCTGTCATGTGCCTGGTGGGGACCGTGGCCCCCACCCTACAGATGGGGAAACGGGCGTGGGCGGAGGTGAGAGTCGGGGTCCAAGGTCTGAGGTTCATCAAATTCTAGGGGCTGGCTCTTTCTCCGCCAACATGAAGAGGAAGCTCCCAGCAGCCCTTTGCAGTTTACCCAAAGGGGAAAGGACCTACAGCTACCTCTCCCGCCCCTGCTGAAAGCAGCTGTGCAGTGTGGGGAGCTTCCTCTGCCTGACCATCTTTGGACCACACTGAATAACCCAGTCGCGAGGGTTCGTGCAACCAGAAGGGAGTGTCCTCCGGACATGTGAGATCTTCCAAGATGGGCTACAGCACTGGCAGCTGATGGCTGCAGTGATGTGCTATGAGCTGAAAATATGACCAGTCACCCAGGCATCCCATGTATGGGTCTAGTCTCAGGGGCCTCAAGTACGGAAACGGGCCACCCCCCTGCCGATCCTGTAGGAGCCAAATGATGATGCACAGGCCATGCTCTGATTGCTTTTCAAACACTGGGCAGACCAAGAATGCGCCAGCCACAGAAACGGACGTGGGCCCCGTGCCATGGAAAATGTTTGACCATGGGTATTGGTGGGTCACTAGCAGCACCCAAGAAGGCCTCCTCCACCTCCACACTTTAGACTGGAGGCTGCAGGCTCTGTACCCAGATCCATCCTCAAGGCTGGGTGCCCACTGAAATTCCACTGAGGAAGTTCCCAAACAGAGGAGGCAGAGTTTGTCCGATGACCCCTGGCTGCTGGCTCTGCTCATTTACATAGTTTATATGAATGGGGGGGGGTGGCACCCAGTGTGCCAGAACAGAAATCAGGAAGTGAATCAGGCGCTATTTATGGGAGCAGGAGGCTGAGGAACTGGTCGAGCCCTTGTGCCAACTTGAGCGTTTCTAGGTGAAATGGTTACCTGGTGGCTTATTTGAACATGCACAGCCCCAGCGCCCCAGCCCGTGGCTTTCGAGGTTCTCCAAGAGCTTGCCACACAACTCAGGTTCCAGAGCCCAGTGCTGTGTCTAGTTCATGGGCTAAATAAATGAACTTCGGGTCTGTGAGGTCAAGGACCCAGGTCTCACGTCAGGAGGTGCCCCGGATTCAGCCATGTCCCCACCCTCACCTCCCTGGCTCCTGTGACTGGCCTCGTGCTTACTGCTGCCAGCAGCCAGCAATGAAAATGCTCCATGGAATGGATTCTAGAAAAGCATGGTGGGACAGTCAACCCGGGATACGTGTGCCTGTCCCTTTACATTAAACAGTTCTTATAAAAAAGCGGCAAAACAAAACACCAGTCCCTTGTCTTAGCCTACCGGGGCAAGACACCTGACACCTGGCTGGGTAACATGGGCACCCATGGTCCCCTGGCCCCCAACTCTGAGAGCCTGCTGCCACCACATGACCAGTCTTTTGGGGCCATGGGGTCTAGAACAACCCCTTCCCCTCACATGTCCTCTTTCCCCCAGAGCCCAGCTGGAACAGAGGCGCAGGGAGGGGTCATTGGGCGAGGCACCACAGGAAGACAGCGGCAGGAGGTCACCAAGTTGAAAGGCTCCTGATGAAAAGAGCTAAGCCTTTCCTGAACGCATAATCATGACAAACTGCACCAAACTCATCTGGGAGCCTTAATGGGGGGAATTTGAAAATTCCAAGCTGCAGGGAAAATGCTTCCTTAGTAGAGATGCCTGCTGCCAGTGGGCACGGAGGGGACCCCCAGGTCAGGGACTCTCCCATGGGAATGGCCCGTCTCTTGCTTGCAAATAGGCCTTTTCCTTCTGTATCTCCAGGGAGGGTGAGGGTGGCAGGCAGGCCTGGGGCATGTCTCCCCACTGCAATGGCCACCGCCATCCCTTTACCCCAGGAAAGAGCAAGGTGACAGAGCAGCCCCTCTGGTTGCAGCCTCAGCCCCAGAGGTCTCGAGCCCTGAGAAGGAGTCAGAACAAGTGGTCTGTGGTCATAGCTGGCCGGATGGTGGGGGAGGTCACCCAGGGGACATGCTGATAACCTGCCACCTGGGCCCCAGCATAGGGCAGGGACTCTGCTGAGGAGGGTCTGCCTGGTGTGCAGGGGAAGGTGGGCTGGAAGTACAAAACACCCACTGCAGTACCCAGGGAGGGCACACAGGCCGGGTGACTTTAGCTGACCAGTTCCGTAAACAGCTGCTCCCTGCTGAGGTCACGGTCTGGAGGCTGGGGTCGGGTCGGGTGCAGATGACTTCCCAGACGTCTCAGGGAGCAGAATGGATCAGAACCACCTCTAAGGCTGCAAAAGCAAAGCCCAGTTCAGGCCTGACACCAAAGAGATGTACTAATATCTAGCCAGACCTGGCCAGAGCTTCGGCCTATCACTCCCTGCTCCCTGGGTGGACCCCAGACCAGGTCTCGCTGTGACATTCCTCCTTCCTCAGATGCCTTGGAAGGTAAAGCAAACCCTCCTGGGTAGAGAGAGGACATAGGCCCCCCTTTACCTTCACCTGACGGGCACCCCCCGCCACCAGCTGAGCGCTGGGCTGTTTCATCTTTCCCCCAAGCAGTGGCGTGTGGAGGGAAAGGCCTTGTGGAAATAGCCTGTATTTGCTGCCTCCATATCTGTAGGGGTGGAATAGTGTCCCCCTCCCAAATTCAGGATCAACTGGAGCCTCAGCAAGTGGTCCTATTGGAAATAGGGTCTTTGCAGATGTAATTAGTTAAGATGAGGTTATACTGGAGTAGGGTAGCCCCAAACCCAATGGCTGGTGTCCTTATAAGAAGAGCAGAAGCACAGAGAAAGCCATGTGATGATGGAGGCAGAGAAGGGTGGACGCATATACAAGCCAAGGATGGCTGGCAACCAGCAGAAGCCAGGAGGAGGCATGGGACGGATTCTCCTCGGAGCTCTCAGAAGGAAACGACCCTGCCAACACCTTGACTTTGGACGTCTGGCCTCCAGAACTGTGAGAGGATACACTTCTGTTGTTTCAAGCCGCCCAGCTGGTGGTTATTTGTTCCAGCAGCCCCAGGAAACTCACACACACACCACCCTTCCTGCTCCTCTCTAAACCAGCTACTCTACCAGACTTTTGAGCCCACCCCACCCAGATGACTGTCGTCAAGGTCACCAGGGATCACCTCATTGCCAAAGCTGACGGACAATTCTCAGCCGTCAATATCCTCCACCTAGCATCACTCTGTCCTTCTTGAAGTCCTTTTTTTTGCTCGGTGTCCAGGACACCCCTCTCCCCTCCAGCCCCATGGCTACTCTGCCTCTCTTCCCGCTGTCCACCCAACCTTTAAACATTGACACGCCCCAGGGCTCGGCCTCAGTCCTCTCCATCGCTCCCTAGGTGATCTCCTCCAGGGGTCATGGCTCTAAACACCATCCAGCCATGGGGGACTCCCCCACTGACCACTGTCCCAGACCCTGTCTCCAGACTTGCAAAGCCATCTGATGTGTTGAGCGAGCATTTCAAATTTAACTTCCCCACCCTAACCTTAACCCCCATCCCCTCTTCCCTAGACAGCTGTTATAGCTCCTCCCTGGTGGCCATTCTCCCCCTACCATCGTCCATTTCTATACAGCAGCCAGAATGACCCTTCTAGGACATGGGATGCTCTCTTAGTACAGAACTGAGCTTTCAGGAAGCAGACTGAGGCTGGCGGTCCTAACATATGGCACCTCGTCCTACTCTCCACCTGTGCAGCGGGCTGAGCACACTGTGCCACCCTGATGGGTTTTCCCATCTGGTTCCTCCAAAGCCAATGCCGTGCAGAGCGGGGCCCCAGACTCATGTCTGACCAGGACTAGGGAAGGTGAGAAGCAATGTCTGGCACATGATTCTGGTGGGGAGATAGGGGAGTCTTCATCACTAACCAAGAGTGTCCGAGGCGGGCTCAGGCCACGGGCACTTCCGGCCGCCACTCGGGGTCCACTCACAGAGCAGTTCTTAACAACCCACTCCCAAACACATTCCCCCCTCCCCTCGAACCTGAAGGTTTGGAGCCTGCAAGGTCAGAGTAAGCGTCTGTGCTCCTGACCCCTGGCAGGGGCCTCACCTACCATCTGGCCTTCAGGGGCAGGGGGTTAGATCTTGGGGTGCCAGGCCAAACCTGCCCCACAAAGATGGTTAGCATATGGGTGGACAAAACTTTCTGGCCCACCACTTTCTCATGGTGGAATGTGCAGATGGTAGAAAAAAACCCAGGAAAGAGTGAGGGTCAAGCATGGGGTGGACAGTCCAAGTCCCAGGACCTCCCATCACCATGGGCTCCCAGCCAGGCAGCCACAAAGCCCTCCCCTTCCCAAACCAGGACAGTGCTGTCACCTAAGCTATTTTCACATAGGGTCTGAGAAAGGCAACTCCTTTTCACAAAGGGACAGGTGGAAACTGCTGTTGACTCAGTCTGTTTATAACCCATGTTCTCCTCTCCAGAGGTCTCCTGACATCATGGGATGAACAAGCCCCTCTCGGGGAACTATGCCCCCAAAGAAGCCCATTCAGAAGCCTCCAGCACCAAGAGAGAAAGGCCCTAAACCAGTCAAATGAGTGAGAGAGGCCATCGGCTTTCAATTATGTGAGAGGACCTAGTACCCACAAGGCTGCAGACCCCAGCTCAATAATATGCTGGCTACTGTGCTAGAATTTGGTCAACTGCAGATCAAAGCTAAAGGCAGGTCAACCAGAAACAAGCCGCATCTATCAAAGACCATCCATCAATTCACGCATTCATTCACTCACTCACCACCCATTCCCCCACCCATCTATCCATCCATCCACTCGTTCATTCACCCACGAGGTGCTGCCAGGTAACCTGGCAGGCTCCAGCTAGAATTCTTCCCTTAACCAGAGGCAGGCAAGCATTGCCTCTGAGGTTCTGAATACACTGGAGTGTCCACTCAAAGACATTTTAATTCCAATGGCTGGGTAACCTCTGGCCAGGCCCAGCCAGGATCCCAGGAACAGAGGGAGTCTGGGGACAGTGTCACCTCAGACAGTGGACAGCAGAGGACACTTACGGTCGAGTCCGTTCAAGTAGCGCATGCGGATCTCACAGTGGCCCCAGACGGCACTCACGACAGGATACAGCTTTTTGCCCTTCAGTCCCCGAAAAGCCACTCCCATGTACTGTCCATCCACAATGAAGCTCAGGGTCCCGTCGTCCATGTCCAGAGCCACCAGGAAGGAGTCGGGCACAATGAACGTCTCGTCCGGCTCCAGAAAGGCTGGGTATGTTTTGCTTGGTTGGTTTTTGCCGTCGTGGTAGAGCCGGTTACGCCCCAAGTCCCAGCCCCAGGACTCGTGGTTATTCCCCACGAGGGTCGTGTACCCGACGGAGTGCAGGGGGGCGTCGGCTGTTGCCACCCCAACCACGGCATGCGTGCCCCGCTGCCTCATGGCCCACGTGATCTGCCACACGTGCAGTCCCCGTGTGTACCCAACTTTGCCCCTGATGGCGTCCGTGCTCTGGGCCACCGGATGCCGGTGAAAGATCAGCTTGTCATCCTCCTTCACGAAGACGTTGAGCGAGCGGTCGTTGTTGTTCCACGAGTGGAGCAGCTGGACGTCGTAGGACACGGGGGGCATGTCCAGCAGCAGGTCCAGGCGGGTGGGCTTGCAGTAGTCCAGGCCCTGCAGCTCCTGCTTCAAGGGCCGGTACGTGGGGTCCCTCATGTCTACAGTTTTGATCCCTCCGGTGACCTTCTGACCCATGTTCGCCTTCCGTTTCACCTTGGCACCAACTCCCAAGGCAAACACATCAATCGCGGGGCCTCTTGTCCAGTTTGCCGCTCAGGCCCAGGCAGGACTCCACAGGAAGGCAGCTAGGTGACCTCTGCAAGTGGTGGAGTGATCAGTGCTGCCTAATGCGTGGAAAGAAAAACAGGAAGCTGGGTGAGCAGGGGTGCGGAGAGAAGGGGAGAACGTTAACCAGGAACATGAGGTGCATAGAAACAGGCCAACCACAGACACGACCCAGCAGCCCGGCTTCTGGGCTCCCACTGCACCTGACACGGGGCAGGCGGGAGCCTTGGCACAGAAGGAAACCCGGCTCTGTCCTTGTGGCAGCATCGTCACAAAGGAGAGAGACCACCCACCAGGCACTCCGCGTGGCAAGGTGGGCTTGGGGGCTGGCGTTGTGCCTCACTCTGTTGGGTGTATCAAATACCTAACCGTGGTCTGTCAGGGCAGACGGCCAAGGTGGCACTGATCTTGAAATCAGCCCACGCAGTGGGCACATTCCCTGGTCAAAGCAAGGGGGCGGCTTACTTCCCACGCCTGCTGCTTGGAGGGAAGGTGACGCCCCAACAGGCAGCAGAAGCTGTGTGAGATGCCCACTCCAGCTCCCCCTCTTTCCCAGACAGACGACCTCTGGTTCATGCCAGGGACGGGAACCCCGGGGTAGACAGCAAGCTTAACTTGAGGTCTGCAAGTACTTGGTTGGAAGGCCTGAGGGGCTCCTGGCTCTGTGGTCCCTGAGACGGCAGCAACCTCCCCAGCAGGTCCCGCGTCCCACGTCCTGCCTGGACTGGCGCAGCCATCGACGCTCTGCTCAAGGCCCCTGGGCTGGCCTTGGGTCAGGTGGGCACGGAGACGCTCACCCCCACCCCCGTCCCCCAGGTAGCTCTGGCCCAACAGTTGAATGACCACCACTTTTTCCTTCAACCAGAAGCCAATGTTTGGCTCCTGGAGTTCCAGCAGCCCATCTGGGGAGGAAGTCTGACTCTAAGACACCTCATTCCTGCTCTGGCTTCACCACTCTTGGCTCCTTTAAGGGAGGACGGGGCCACGGGGCTGGAGAGGTCACTGCATCTGTGCCATGCCCTCCATCAGCAGGACCAGGAGGGTTATATCCAAGGAGGACGGGGCTGAGACGTGGGGCTGACAGGACTCTCACCACCCCTGCCATTCCTGGCCTTGATGCCCACAGTGGATAAGGGAAAACCAACAGGCCATTTTGGTTTCCTGAGCCTCACTCCTGGCTGCCCGGTGTGGGGGACGGGGTCCTGGGACCAATCGGACAAGAGGGAAGGCAGGCTACTGGCTAAATAAACATCGCTAAATGAGTCTGCAGAGGAGTCTGGATGAGAGGCCATTGATGCCTGGCTGCTGGGAAAAGCATCACACAGGTCATGTGTTCTAAAGAGACGAAGAGAATACAATGGCGCCTGGGGTGGGGGCTGCAGGGCTCCCCTCTGCAGTTGGCATATTGCTTTTCCACGTGGAAGCAAGGATAGAGGACCTGCTGGGAGATGAGGGAAGGGACTGGCACAGGAAAATCTGGGAACCTGGGACTCCTGTCCTCCCTGTGGGAGGCCAAGGACCTGCAGGTCTAGGAGCGGGGGAGAGAAATGTGCAGTGGGGCTGTGCCCCCTCAGGTCTTCTAGCTGACCCAGAGCTGCCTCCTTCTCCTGGGAAGAGACCCCATGAGATGGTGGTATCTTCTGGCCTCCTGGAACGAATGTTCTCATGTGAGACACTGGGCCTCGGATCCCCTTATCTCAGTGGGTGTGGAACAGAGGGCTCCCTCACTCCCTGAGGCACAGTCATTTCTTCAAAGACAGGCTAGGACCACTTGTGTCAAATGTTTGCAAAGCTGGTGTCCCTCTGCAACAGGGGACTGCTCTGGGTCAGGGGAATTCTTTGGATATCGTAACCTCACATCTTGGATTGCCCAGGACAACCCCAAATTCAAGCTTTCAGTCCCATTGACTCCTGAAAGTCACTGTTACATCTAGGACTCCCCCTGTGGCCATGGTGAGGGGGCCCCCCATGACTTTGGAGGCTGCTTGCCAGGCCACGCAAGAGCGGAGAGAGCCTGAGTTTTGGTGTGAAAACGTGGTTCTGATAATGGCAGAGACTGGGTAGCCTGGCTGCAGCCTTCCTTGGCCCCCCTTTCCCGCCTCCCCAACCTTCATTCGAGCGTATTTCAGAGCTGGGGGAAAGCTGGCCTGAGGCGGTTCTGAGTCAGAAGCACTCATACCCGTCTCTGCCTGGACACCCCGCTCTGGCTGGTGCCCAGAGACCTCTCTGTGCAGGACCCAGCGGGGACACAGGTCAGCTCTCTGGGAGGACGAGGAGAAAGTTAACCTCCTAAGAGGGTTCATTTTACTGCTTCTTGTAGCAAAGCTGCCACTGCCCTTTTGTTGGCTCTATCATCACAGCAGGAAGGACTCTCTCTCAGAATCTTGAGGCACGGAAGACCCCCCAACCCCCACCCATGGCAACAGGTGGGAAAAGTGAGGAGGCAGGGGCAGGGGTGGAGACATTGGGCAGGAGGAACTGAGGAAGGCGGTGGGGAGAAGGCCTCCCAACACGTTAATTTAAAATTCTTGGAGAGAAGTGGGTGTATGGAGAAGAACCATGGCAGGGAGGATGAGACAGGGGAGGGGAGTGGACAAGTCCAAGGTGGAGAAAGGAAGAGAGGAAGGGAGCTCTCAGGCCAGCAAACCTGGGCCTGGGCACACATACAACTGCTACTTGAGCGGGCCAGGGATCAGCACCCTTTTTCTATAAAGGGCCAGATAGTCAATGTTTTAGGCTCTGTGGACTGGACAGTCTCCGTGCGCCTACTCAGCTCTACATGCAGTGCACAGATAAATGAGCAAGGCTGAGTCCCAATAAAACTTTATTGACAAGAATAGGCAGGTCTGTAGTTGGCCAACCCCTGAGTTAGACCAAGGGCTCTCTCTGCACATCATCTCCGCTGAAGACGGAATGCTGTGATGGCTGCAGTAGGAAAGCATAATAAGATGGATGTGGGAAGGGGTCTCTCATGTTAGCAAGGTCAGTCCAGCCTCAGAACGAGCGATCACAAAAGAGCGTAACCTCACAGGGGTGGGCTATCTGCGTGTCCAAATCAGCTCCACAAGCTCTTCCCATTCTGAGATTCCAGTCTCCGAGCCTGATTGCCAAGCAAGTCCACTTAAATGGCCCTTGTGCTAAGCTCCTCCCCTACTGGGCCCCAAAGTTGAGAACCACCTGAGAGGGAGGGCCCCTTCTGGCACCTGGACCACATGACCTTGAGTGGAGGGAGGGCAGGTAAAGGTGTCTGCAGCATCTCAGGGTGACTCCTACACAAGGGCACTCCAGGGCCTAGATGGAACATGGGCCACCCACTTTGCTGCTTCAGGGCCATCCCGCCATCTAAATCACCTCCTAGGTGGTCAATTGCTATGGCAACCCTAGGGCCTCTCTTGACTCACCTGTCACCTGCTGGTCTCCTCCCTGTGTCCAGGCCATGGTTAAAGCCAACACTTCCTTCTCGTCACCTTCCTGTTGTCCACACCTAGCCACCTCCCGGCCATGCAAGGCCACGGAAGCCATCCAGCTGCCCCCGCCTTCCCTCTATTTTTAAATGTGATCGGCCCTTCTATGTGTTGCCCAGGAGTTCCACTCGCTCCCTTCTTGGGGACTGCTGCCTGGCAGGGCAGTTCCTCCAGGCTCATCTCCATCCTGCTCTCCTCTGCCAGCCCTGCTCCTGGGGCTTTCAATCCTGGGCAGGGGGAAGTGGGGGAGGTCACGCACCAAAACAGTGGCTTGGGCCATTCCCTAGGACTTGCCCTTAGCTTTCCGAGCTTCTGTTTGTTCCTCTATAAGATGGGTGTCCCACGCTTACCTAAGACTCACCTGAGACAGTGTTACAGAGAGGACCTGGTACAACTGGCATTTTCACTTTTGTTTTTGTTTTTATGTTCTAAACCGTGCTCCACACACTGAACAAAGATCATTGTTAGCTGTCTTCCTGGTCACTGCACCTGGTCCTACAGATGGATGCTGTCTTTGGGCCAAGATCCACGTGCTTGGACTGCTGAGCTAGAACAGATCAAGTTTAAGGTCCCTTCTAAGCCAGGGGTTGGCAAATTTGCCCTGTAAGGGGTCAGAGAGTAACTATTCTAGGCTTTCTAGACAGTATGTAAATGAATAGATGTGGCTATGTTCCAATAAAACTTTATTTATAGAAACAGACCACAGGCCAGATTTGCTCTAGGAGCAATAGTTTGCTGACCCCTCTTCTAAACCCATGACACTATCGCCAAAACACTGGGACATGGGGCTCAGAAGGGGGGGGTCTGGAGGAGGTTGCATCACCCACGGGAGACGAGTGACAGAGATACTGGCTTTGTCTACGCAGCTCCTGTTAACCCTGGGCTAGGAGGGAGTCCCCAGCAGGCACCACACTTCAGGTTCGAAATAAGAGCAGAAAAGGCCCGGCTCTGGGACCAGCCTCCTTTCCTGCCGTTCTGAAATGCAAATGCAGATGCCCAGGCCTCACAGGGCCCAGAGCTGCCACAAGAGTGTCAGGGCATGGGATGGCTCAGCAAGTCCTTGGTGAATCTCCACGAGGTCAGAAGACCCCACCCTCATCCCCACCCAGAAGAAGTAAAGCCACAGAGGGTGTGAAGGGTGTATCCTAGTATTGCCCTGCAGGGCTGGAACACAGAAGCTGGGGACAGAGCTGGTCCTGCTGCTGCTGCCACCACTACCCACCAGTCACACGCAGTCAGGTGTGCGCACACACGTGTGCACTGGCAGCTGCGGCATCCAAGCTAATGAGCAGGACAGAGGCGCACAAGTGCAGACAGTGCCCTGGCCGGCAGCTGCCTTCATTCCCTCGGCGGAGTTCTTGTTCCCAAAAAGCACATTTGCATTTTAGCCAGATGTCCCCAAGACCGCATCTGCCCATTCTTCCTCGCGGCTGTCTCAAGCCAACCCTCCAGGAAAACAAGTTCCTGGATTGTATCCCTCCTGCCCCACCAACCTCTGATCACCCAAATAACATATGGTTCCCACTATCCTCAGTCCCCGGGGCTGCAGGGCAGGTTGGCACAAACAGGGTTCCAGTACCTGGTTCTTCCCAAAG